AAAAAATCCAATCCCCAACCAGAAAATATGTCAAAAGAAGACAATAAGATAAGGGTTTTAATCTGAATAATGGACTTGGAAAACCCCCAAGAACGCCAAATTTCAAACCAAACACAAGCAGAAGAATTATAATTTATCTACAGAGACTACAGGACATGATATACAATTGTAACTAGAAAAACAGGAATTGGGCATTAACTGAGGTGAGGGAAAACACCTTTCAAGGGCAGAGTTCAAATCAGGAGATTGTTGAAGTTCAAGAACGGCGGCCTTTCTCGCTAAATAAAGGTGACGCTTTTTAGCACTGGCCGGAGCAGCACTGGATGGCGGCTCAGTAACGGTTTCCTTGACAAGAGCCTTCGTCTCATAGGTGAATTGAGAGTCGCTGGCTCTTGCTGTGGGAGGTGACCCAGAAGGAATTAATGTAAGAACCGGGCAGGCAAAGGCGTGGCGGCTCAGCCCGCAGCCAAGCACAGACGATATCTCCATTAGACTGATTAAAGCTACTGAGCTCGGTGGCTATATCAGGAGGATGTAAGTGACTGGCTGCTGGTTCTTCCGGTATCCTCCCGTTGTCCGACAGTAGATTTTTCTCAATTTTCTATTTTTTCTATAAATTGCAAAATGAGTTTTTAAGTTCTAACACCCCAGAACAAAAAAAATAAAAAAATAAAAACCCCTATGGAAAATCCAGGTCCCAGAGAATGGTGTTGAAGGAACCAATCTCGTAGCAATATTTGCTTATTCAGACGCTAATAAATTTCAGAGCCTGGTTGGACTGAGGAAGTTGGAGGGGAAGGACAGGAGAGGGAGGGGAGAGAGTATTTTTTATTTGTTTGGATAAATAATTTTAGTAAAAAAAAGAATCTATCTCTTTTTTGTTTTTAATTATTTTATTTGAAAGAAATAATACAAATTATATTATTTAATTTATTTTTATTTTTAATTTTTTAAAATAAATGTATATAAATATTTTATTTTAATTATTAAATTTTAAATATTTTATTTTCTTCTTTTATCTTTATTAAATTATTTAATTAAATAAAAACATTACTCTTTTTTCTACTTTACTTTTATATATTTAAATAAAATTAATTTTAATCATTTTCTTTTCTTCACTTCCCTTCCTTTTCCTTTTTCTCCCATTCTCTTCCTTTCCTTCACTAATTTTTATCCAACCATAAGTTCAATTTTTTAGAATAAAGTTCTGAGATGTAAAATAAAAGAAAGTCATGAAACAGAGAAGTAGGAGTTACAGATATTATTACAAGGAAATTCATTTGCATTTATTGTAACGGGGATAGTTCCCTTGAGTACAGTACTGATTTCATTACATAAAAGACTGCTAATTTAAATCTGGGTGGGCGCTGGAACCAGAACTAGATTATCGTCTGGGAAGAAATGGCACACAGGCAAGGTCCCTGGCTTAAACCCCAGCAGCTGGAATGAGATATGATTGGGACTAAAATGAGATGTATCCATGTGACAGACTGCAAGTGCATCCACCTCATCCCCATTTTCTCCAACCAATTGCACCTTAAACACTTTGGTTTCACTGAGTAGCCTATGGCAATAGAAAACTATGTAAGGGTAGGGCAGGGTGTGGCATGCCACCATCCTGGGAGTTGGTATCTCTTTTGGGGTTTCAAAAATAGTGTAGTTCTGGAATAAGGTACTTGATTTTGAGATGTAGGTAGTTTTTATCATTTGAAGATGGGAATCCAATCCCAAGATGCTCTGTGCAAAGTCAAGCAAGGATTCCAGAGAGGTAGCACAGAACTTGATCTCTCCCTGGATGGCTTCAATCTCACAATCTCTGAGTGTTTCTTTCATCGCTTTGGCTTGGGAAGAGTCTTCTGATAAGGAGAAAAACTGAAGAAGGTAAGGAAGGTCTTGCAATGAGAAAGGGATGGAATCAGCTTGTTCTCTATGCAACAGGTGAGGATAAGTTAAAGGATCTCTCCTGGGAAAATATATGGGTATCATCTTCCCAACCTTGAGATCCTTCAGGGTGAAGAACACCCTCACTGAAGGGTCCATGTGATCCATGTGGGATGATAGATGAACATGAATGTCCATTGCCGGAACCTCTCCATGGCCATCGTGTTCTTGCCTCGCATGATCCATGGTGGGGAGCCTCAAAACATTGTCTCCAGTACTGATCCCTTTGTGGAGGTGTGCATCAGTATCTGAAGGGTACCTTATCAAGAGGTCCTGCGTCATCCTCTTCTCATTTCCATGATTCCATTGGTTGTCACCAACCATCTCCCTGGCTCTAATTCCATAAGCCTGTTGCAAATTAAATTGGAGTAGCAGCATAAGCCTGAGTTGATGACAAACACTAGTAGACTTCATATTGATTCTTTAGAGAGTTTAGACACATTACCTTGACAAGCAGTAAGAGGAGAATGCTCCACAAAATAAGCTCAACCTTCATCTTTCCACCACTCTCAGTTAACAGTGTCAGACAGCACTTGAATCCTTAAGAAGAGACATGTGAAACCCTGAATAAGAGTAAGCTCATTGACTTATACTGATGAAGATAAAACATTGATCTTGTGATTTCTGAAAGGCCAATTTAAAACAGGATTAAACTACATCATGTATCAGCTCCCTTATCCCTTGGCCTCTGAAAAGTAGCCAAAATTTTTTTTTAAAAATCTATATTCTTCATGTTTTCCTTTTTGGCCAATTAATAATTGTAATCCTGTCCCTTGCTGCACATGCATTTCATTCAACAAGATAACTTTTTCACCCCAGAAAGCTCAGCTTAATTCATGAATCACGAGTTATATGGGTCCGGTTTAAATAAAAAATTATGAATCATTAGATACCAGATCTTTTTTCGGATGATTGATCTTATCTTACTCAGCCTTCTTGGTTTCCTCTTCTCTAGATTTTAAATTAATAAAAACTGACATCATTAGCTTCCATCTAGTGACCCCACCATCTTGACGCAGCATAATATGCAAGGTTATGAAACTTAAAGTTGTCCAAGAACTAAACATTCCTTACTTCTTAGACATGCTACTTTGGCTTATTGTTCTAATTTTCTACATTGCAACCCTCACCAAGTATATAAGAAAATAGGTTTATGTAAATTTTTTTATGTCCATGATGAATTTACATGCCATTAATCTCCAACAATTATTTCAAAAAGGAAAAAGCTAGGAAGGGAGAAAAGGATAAGTATCTTTTACACTATTTGCAAGGACTTAGTATGCTAGAAAACAAGGTAAAGGTAAAGATAAAGAAATTATTCTTTTTTTTACGGTAACTTCGTATTACCATAAGAAAACCAGTTTACTTACAGTTCAAATTTAAAATCAAAAACCAACAACAGGAAACAGGAAAAAACAGAAGATTGAAATATAAACTAGAAAAGGGCAACTGCTGAAGGAGATCCTCAAAGCTCATCAATAACTCGACGAAGATAGAGATATGCACATCCTCATATTGAAAGCCTTTGCACTGCCTCAATTGTACTTCATTCTCCAGTGTAGTCCAAGACAAGGCCTGGGAGAAACACGGGAAATTACAGCTGATATGGAGGCAAATCCTCAGCCTACCTCTATTTGCAGCCCTGGGGAACAAAGCAGGAACACAGCAGTCAGACCCTTAGCCTCAATGAAATTATTCTTGGATTCCCAATTTACAATCTTAATTTTCAAAGAAAAAATCTTGGTAATTTCCAACGACCTAAGCGGTCAATACTAATCTCTTTCTCATAGAAGTAAGACTAGAAGAGGGTCTAGGTTTGAGGCGCACTGCATGCATGCAGGTGAGATAGGTTAAAGGATGAAAAAGGGTTGCCTCCCAATCTCCTATTGTGCAACTAAAAAAAAAAAAAAAATCCTAGTAATTCTGATGTTGAAATTTCTATAACCTAACATGGCCACTATCCATTACTGTGCTTCTATGACATGAATCCAGAGGATTTGCCGGGCACTCACATGAATCACGACCTTCTAGAGCTAATAGAAATATTTTTATTCTTTCTTTTCTCTCTATATATATTGCAGGGTGGCATATTGCTTTTAGGCAAATTGTGAAAGCCGATACCATCTCTAAAGAGTTTTTAGTTTCATGAATATGCAATTCAAAATGAAATCTTTCCTTCCTTCCTTTGCAGTCTTCTTATTTCTCCTGGTAATTAACTAGCTTCTAATAATGGCTGTGAAGTCGACTTTTTGTACATAATATTAGATTGTGGGTGCAAATTAAAACAGAAGTTTTTACATTATATATCTTCTGTATATAGCTTGTTTATGTTCTCATGGTTTTTCCTTCCTTTTTTTAATGCAGTTTGCTAATACTAATGTAGCAGCAAGAAAAGACCTAAGGGACTCCTGGAGAGCTGTAATGAAAGATCAATCCCTGCCAGAGGCAATAGAAGTTCTTGTTCAAGTTGACACTGATAAAGAAGCTGATTGCCACACACCTGCAACCATTGAGCGCCAGGGAGAAAAGATCTTCGTCAGGGACTTCAAAACAGGATCACCTGGTGTTACAGCAGTCTACAAGAACAATGACATCAAACCAACACAACACAAATCCCCATTTAGGGAAGAGGAGATTTTTGTGAAGGATTTTGAAACAGGATCCCCTGGTGGTGCTACAGTGCTCTACAGCAATGATGGCATTAATCCAGCTGAAGACAAATCCTTGTCTAAGAAAGATAACATTTTTGTTAAGGATTTTGAAACAGGATCTCCTGGTGTTACAGTAGTCTACGGCAACAATGGCATCAAACCAACAGCAGGCAAATCCTTGTCTAGGGAGGAAAGCATTTTCGTTAAGGATTTCAAAACAGGATCCCCTGGTGCTTCAGTAGTCTATGGCAACAATGGCATCAAACCAACAGGAGACAAATCCTTGTTCAAGGAAGAAAACATCTTTGTTAAGGATTTCGAAACAGGATC